AGGGGACCTGAAAGGTTCTGGGAGCCCCTGCAGCCACAGGACCCAAGGCTACCCTGTGTGATAATATAGCTTCATGGAATGCAGGAACTGCTAGTGTGTGAGTGCATGCCCCAGGATTCAACTGCATCCGCTCTCCGAGGACTCTAGACCTGAGGTGCAGCAGGAGGCAGGAGGGGAGTTCTGCTGAGTGTCCAGGTCCGCCCAGTGCTCACAGCCTCTGTCCACCCCACAGACACAATGCTCCTGTTTGGTGGCTTCCAAAACTGCAGGCTATTTTTTTCTGGCATGCTCCTCTGTGAGAACGCACATCTGGTTCTCAAGTTCAACGCCTCTGGCCTTGGGCTCTCCTCTTTGCAGCACCGATGTCTGTTGATGGGATGGGCATAACCAGCAGCCTTTCTGTCTCAGCTAAATGCATCTTAACCTCTTTCTAAAAGGTTCTGGCAAATATATTGTGCACAAAAAATGTTTTTCTCATCCATCACCAGTTGTGCAGAGAAATGTGTCTCTGATTAAGTTTCCATTACACTCTGAAAAAGCCCATTATATATAAGAAATGAAGCCCTTGAAAATATTCTTCTTTGAAATAAATCTTCCCATTTTGTTAAAATGAGATAAAAACATGAGGTCGATGCCTTCAATGTGATTGTCATGAGAAGTCTACATTTGAGGAACTACAGAAGAGTGAGAACATACTAATAGAATTTTATACATAGTTCTTATTTCGTTCTGTTTTTGCTATTCTTCAATAACACCCTCTGTGATTGCTGCTCACTGAATGACATGTAAGTGAGTAACTAACCATCTGGTCATGAAGTCAAATTGCCTTTAAGTTTATCCCTGAAGTAAGTACACAGTTGCTTCAGAATGTGAAGTCCTTCTCTGTGTAAGTATGAACATAATAACTAAAAAAGGGCAGATTGGGAAGAGTCGGGGAACCTCCGTGGTAGAGATTTGTCTGTACAAGGAGGCTGGGCAGGAAGTGTGTAGCAGCTTGGTAGGCTCCCAAGAGACTACACCTCCCTCCCTCCAGTCTGTCCCTCTAAGTGGGTCAAAAGTCTCTCCTCCTCAGCAGCACCCATACCTTTTCCTGGGCTACAACTCAATACTGGTTTGCCTACTGACTGCAGCTTCTCACCATGGTAGGGCAGCGTCTTCCCTTTATGCCCCTGTTCATAGCATTAAACAAACAAACAAACAAACCCTTTACTGGGGCTGTAGAGATGGCTCAGTGGTGAAGGGTGCTGCCTGCTTTTCCAGAATATTGGGGGTCAATATCCAGCACCCACGTGGCAGTTCACAACTGTCTTTTGCAGGGGATATGAAGTCCTTTCCTGCATTCCCAGTTCTCTGTATGCCTGTGGTACACAAACATACAAGCAGGAAAATCATTCATATTATAAAATAAGAATAAGTAAAAATTTTAAAAAGGAAATAACTTTATATGTAGGTATAAATTGCAGCACAATACACTAAACGGATCTAAAAGCTACATTGAGTAGGTTGTCTCCGTCTTTTCTCAGGTGTAATTCTCTGTAACCAGTTATGAGAATTTTTAATATCTTTCTGTGAACAATTGTCCTATACCACCTCCACTCAGCTCCTCCACACTTCACACCAACAAACAAGCTCTCTGCTATTTCCTTATTCACCAATAGAACTTAATGAAATCATGGCCCTTCATCTGTCTTGTTTATTATACTCTCGGCAAACAGAGAGGTGCTTGGCACATAGTGATGCTTTATTTATTGCTTGGTGGCTGAAGAAACAGAATTCAATGAGCTGAGTAAGGAACACAGATTCTACGGCTGGAGGATGAATTGTGATTCTGTCAGGGATAATTTCAGCTAAGCCGTGGGCATAAAACAAGATCAGAGTGGCTTCCAAGAAGTGAACTCAGAGGACAGATTGAAGGAGCATTCAAAGCCTGTTCAAGAGCTTTGTGTGACGAGCAAAAGGATTGGGTGCGGAGCTTGGCACATTGGATACATACAGCAGGAACGCGTTTTGATGCTGAAGAGACATTGTCAGAACGAAGTAAGGAACTAGAAAAGAAGAAGAAGAAGAAGAAGAAGAAGAAGAAGAAGAAGAAGAAGAAGAGAGAGAGAGAGAGAGAGAGAGAGAGAGAGAGAGAGAGAGAAATTCAAATAAACTCAATGCCAGAGGACATGTGACCCAAAGAGAAGCAATGAAGCCCAAGGGAAGAGCAGACGTCACAGCTCCAAGCACAGGGAAGGAAGCAAGTGTGCAATGCAGGTGCAGTGGGGGAGCTTTTCACTGTGCATCTGTGGAGGGTGAAGGTGCCATGGTGTGGATGCTCGTTGCTCCATTTCATGCAGAGGCGTGGATGTGTGTAACACCATTGGTTGAAGAGGAACTGTGGATGGTTTTGACAGGGATGTTCTTACAGGTAGTGTTGGTCAATGCTGCTCCACACTCATCACAGATCTGTTACCACATTTCTACCCCAGTCTTGTGGGTTCGGGATCTCGGCTGTCTGTTCTGAACTGCACTAAAATCTAGGATTGTATAAGGAGCAAGGCTGTGAGAACACCAGCAATGACAAAGTCTGTAACATGATGGGCCGGCTTGTTGGGGTTTCCGTCCCGCCCGGTACCCCAACAGCCGGCAAATCCCAAAGAGAAATTACACACAGGACTCCATAAGGTTATAAACTGATTGGCCCATAGGGTCAGGCTTCTTGTTAACTCTTATAACTTATATTAACCCATTATTCTGATCTATGTTAGCCATAATGGCTCCATACCTTTTTCAGCTGGGCAGGTTACATGCTGTCTCTTCGGTGGTCTGTACAGGACTGGCTGAGAGAGCTTCTGCTTCCAGAATACTCCCAGTCTCTTTGCTCCACCCCTACTTCCTGTCTCGCTTTCCTGCCTATACTGCCTGCCTGGCCAATCAGCGTTTTATTAAAATATGATTAACAGAATACAGATAATTCTCCCGCACCAAAAGTCGAGCTCTGGGGTGGAGAGGTGGCTGTCACATTGTCCCATGATCATTCTGTTGGTTGAATATGCAGTCAGCAGATGGCCCCTACTGGGGCAGCCCACCAACTTCCAGCCAGGGATGAACACAGAAAAGGAGAAGGACCATGTACGGCAAATGGAATGGTGCTATTTCTCCAGTGTCTCTTGCACTGTCGGGATGTTTGGCTTAATTATTTCTCCCGCTGATGGCTTTCTGGAAGTCTAGTCACTGGATTGCCTTGCTGTGCCCAGACTAATAGTGATGAGGGACTTCCCCAAACAGTCAAGAATAAAAATAAATGTCCAAAATTTATGGGTGGCACATTGCCTAAGGGGGTGGCTGATTTCTCTTAGCCGCAGCTTTGCTGGTCCAAAGAATTCCTTCTAAACAAAGCTAGTGACCATGTTCAGCTTCCCGTTACATCCATTAACATCTCTCAAATTTGAGGGTGAGGCTTAATTCCAGAAGGAATTTTATAGCAGATGTTGCTACAGTGTGTCCCCTTGCTGGCCACATAGTTATTGGAAAGGCAGGAGTTTGAGCAACCAGTTTGCCATCCTTCTGGTGGGTAGTAACTCAGCTTTACACGTGGCCAAAAGTCTCTGTGGAGAAACAGGCATGAGCGTCTGAAACCCTATTTCCAGAGCATCTTCTTCTGTGCACATTGCTGCAGACCTGGCGGTGGGTGGGCGCACAGTGTGACCTGAACACCATGTGTAATGTTATTGTAATGTTATGTAAGCAAATGTTCATCAAATGTATCGGGTTTCTTTTTTCTCATATTTTAATGTTACTATTTTAAAATTAACATCCAAAATAATGAGTTTCATTGTGACATTTTATACACACTTTGGTCTTACTACCCCACCCGCCCCTTTTTTTCTCCCTTGTTCCTTGGCCTCCCTCCTGTTGGTCCTCGTCCACCCCGACGTGTTTCCAATGTGCTTTAATGTCACATGTATTCTATAACTTTCTTTTTCTCTTCCCCTTTCCTGAAAACCTCCTTTGTCTTCTCGGGGTTCCATTTCTAGGGTCACAATCTATACTACACTCACAACCACATATAGTCACAGAAAAAAATTTAATATCTGGAGTCTGCTTCCTCGATGTGGCATTTGTCATTCTGAGTCTGGCTGATGTCAGTTAGTGTAACAGCTTCCACAGGTTCTGAGCATGTGTGCAATTCGGCCGATAGATTTCCTGCAGTGAGGACTGGTTCTCCCTCCTGCTGCAGTGGTGGGGCAGCTGCAGCGGAGTGACAGCCTGCTGTGCTTGTGAGGCCAGGGGTCAAAGTTTCTGTTTGTGACCTCAAGTCTTCACTAAAACTCATGCAGCTTTGGAGTGTTTTATATTTTGGTTGTTCACATGGGGGTCTCAACCTGTGTTTCTTGTTTCATTTTGTTCATATTATTTTTGAATAGTGAGAGTTCCCAATAGCTTCTTACTTTATATTCTATCCCCTCGTGTGGCTTGCCTTTTCTTTCTTTCTCTTTCTTTCTTTCTTTCTTTCTTTCTTTCTTTCTTTCTTCCTTTCTATTTTTTGGAGATTAATGTCACTTAGTTTTGATAAAATGTAATTTACTAAGTTTTTCTATTGTACATTTATTTAGTGTCATACCTAAAAAAACAAAAAAGCAAAAACAACTGCAAAATCTCAAATATTTTATTCCATGGTTCCCTGGAGAAATTTATAGCCAGACTTGAATAAATTAAGGTAGCTTTAACTCTAGATCCTTTAAATTCTCATGTAATTCTCAAATCTGTGTGTTAATTTTAAAAAACAAAATAGACTTTCTGAGGAGTTTGCTAAAATGATTTTATATCAATTGGGAAAATTTAGCCTCATAACTTTTTAAATTGTGGCTATAATAATATAAGTCTTTGACTTGGGGAATCATGTTTATTGAAGTCTTTTACTGTCTCTCAGAATCTTATATGTAGATTTTTATTGTTTATATATCTTAAGTTTGTTCTTATATTTTCCATGTTTTTGATGCTGTTACTAATGACAGAACTGGAGTCTGCAGAGACAAAAGAGATCTCCGAGCTTCAGCGTGGATCTAAGAGGATGCGTCCCTGTCTGTCTGTGCGTGTGGGTCGTACTCAAGGGTGACTTCGTCATTAGGGCCTCAAGACGGCTGTGTTACAGCTTTTCTGATTCATATAGTCCTCTTCTCTTCTGACTGCCTTTGCGCATGGCCTACTTCGGAATTTCTGGTAAAATGTTTTCATTTTTTTTTAAATGCATAAAGGATGTTTCATATTCTTTCTTTTACAGTTTATGGATTTTCAGAAATGAATCTGTCCCACATAATAATGCATTTGTTACTGTAAAACCAGAGATAAAATGTCCATACTGGAATTTTTAAGTACATGCTTTACTCCACACTTAATAACTCATGGCTTCTTCCTTCCTCTTTTCCTTCCTTCCTTCCTTCCTTCCTTCCTTCCTTCCTTCCTTCCTTCCTTTCTTCCTTCCTTCCTTCCTTCCTTCTCACTCTCTTTTCTTTTTATCTTAACCTGGCACAGGTTCTGAATGCTTTGGATCTTTTCAAAGCGTCAGTGACCGCACTGACGTTACTGTGTTGCTCCTGTGGACTGACATCTAGTTTTCACTTCTTCCTTGCATTAATGACTCCGCTTTTCTTGGGCACCAGTTTCAGTTTCTTTAGGGAAGCAGTATTGATGACCATGACACACAGGTGCTTTCAAAGCCCATGGTCCTCTAAGCATTTCTTAATCTGTGTTTGAGGAGTCTTGCTTGTGTATGTGTATGTGCAAGTACATGTATGTATGTGTGCATTTGGAGGGCAGAGCTCCAATTTAGGTGTTGTTCCTCAGGCGCTAGCCTTCTCATCCTTTAAGACAAGATGTCACAAGGGTCTGGGACTTGCCTCGTAGACTAGCTGAGCCAGCTAGCAGGCAGTTGGCGTCCTCCTCTCTCCATATCTCCATCTACTCTCAGCACTTGAGTGACAGACAGCGCCACCATACCTGGCTTTTTACATGGTTTCTGGAGATCAAATGCCAGCCCTTATGCTTGTGTGTCAGACACTTTAGGGACTGAACCATCTCCACACCCCTTAAATTTTATTTTTATTCATGTTTTCAGTGTATCTTAGCTTTCCCTGTGTCTTCTCACCCAGTAGCTTCAGATGTTGGTTTCCTGGTCTTTTCAGATGTTGTTCTGGGATGTCTTTCTAAGAGATACTGTTAAGGTGAATAAATGCTTCCATTAGATTGTCAACAGACATGTTCTAACGCTTTGAGTCCTGTCTGTGGACAAAAACTCAACCTGTCTAGTGAATATGCAAGGTATATCTGCAAAGATTATCTATGCTGTAGATTCAGCTGGAATATTTTGCAAGTATCAGGTGGATGGCACCTGTTGTTGCCCCAGGGCTTCTGAAGGTTTTCAGGGACCCTTCTGATGTTTGCTTTATTCCAACAGCAAATCCTCACGCTATAAATTCCTGGGTGTAGCTGCGAGGCTGACACCAAATTGTGCAGACTTTGGTGACACCCTTACACACTTGCACAGGGACAAGTGC